GAGAGAGAGAGAGAGAGAGAGAGAGAGAGAGAGAGAGAGAGAGAGAGAGAGAGAGAGAGAGAGAGAGAGAGAGAGAGAGAGAGAGGAAGGAGGCGGGAGAAAGGATGATGGAGAAAGGAGGAAGAAAGGAGGTGGGAGAAATGGAGGAGGGAGGGAAAAATGAACGAACGAAAACTGAGAGAAGAGGAGGGAGAGATGGACGAAGGAGTAGAGCGAGGGCGGAAGGAGGAGGGAGGGATTCTGGTATCGCGCGGAGCAAATGGTCCTGTTGCTACCGTGATGATAACAAAAAAAAAGAAAAAAGAAAAGAAAGGTTGATGGGATGGACTATTCGAAGAGAGAGAGAGAGAGAGAGAGAGAGAGAGAGAGAGAGCAGGTAACTCTCCAACCTCGCGGCTGGCATCATGGGGTACTTCCATCGATAGGATGAGCAACGCACCGGCCAACAGGTAGCCTCATGCTACTTCCATCGATAGGATGAGCAAAATCGGACGAATCTTCCGCCAGAAAATGGAAATATGCACTCTGTGTGTGTGTGTGTGTGTGTGTGTGTGTGTGTGTGTGTGTGTGTGTGTGGGAGAGACAGAGAGACAGAGAGAGAGAGAGAGGAGGGAGGAGGGAGAAAGGAGGGAGAAAGAAGGGCATCGTGCGGAGTGAATGGCCCTGTTGCTAACGTAACCGGAAAAAAAAAAAAAAAAAAGTCGATTGGATGGTGGATGTTACATGCTGCGCCTGCACACGAGGGCCATTTTCCAGGCCCTGCGTCCCTCAGGCTAAAAGCCTGAAACTCCGGCTTAAAGCCTGAAAACCAGGCCCCGTGACTGTTCAGCCCGAAAGCCTGAAAACAGGGGCCTACAGTCCCTGTGTCAATGGCAACAGCCTTTTTAGCCTGAAACGAAGGGCCATTTTCGGTCGTTCATCAGAACGACCGGCCCAGAAACTCAGGCACCGAACCAGGGTTTCGGGAACAGGCTATTCTTAGCCTGTTCCCCACGCCAGCCTCAGCAGCTGCTGCAGCGCCAGCCCCTGGCACACTTCGGCATTGGCAAGAGCAGCCTCCTCGGCCTGGCTCGCCCTTCAGGCAGTCAGGAGGCAGGCCGAGGTAGTACATAGGGACTTCCCATGCACTTCACGGATAGGCAGGAGGCAGTAGTAGTCTTCAGGATTCGGCAGCAGCACTCTGGAGGGAGCGCTGCAGTAGTAGTAGTAGCGTTAGCCTTAGTCTTCAGCGCTTGGCGCAGTAGGTAGCTGTAGTCTCCAGCGCTGGGCGCCATAGCTAGGATAGCACTAGAGAGAGAGAGAGATTGGGCGGAGGCCAGAGGTACTACCTGCAGCGCCGTTGCTCCAGCTTCGTCTTCGAGGTACGTGCAGCACAGCGCCAACATCACAGGTTAGTATCTGGCTCGTAACAGAGAGAGAGAGAGTTCTTCTTCTTCCTTTTCTCAGTCCACCATCTCCTTCTCCCCCTCTCATCATCTGACTTCACTGCATCTGCACACTACGAGAGAAGAGAGAAAGAGCTTGGTGACATCGGATCCAGACTCGACTTTTGGACTTCAGACATTGCAACGAGGGATTATTTGGGACTTGTGACAAAGACTTGGTGTTGACGACATTCCCATCTCTCTCCCTCCTTTCGTCTGATTCCCTCCTCTTCGTCTGTGTATGTCTGGACCTGGCGCTTTCTTCCTGTGCACAGTGCCAGGCTCCTTCACACCTGGTGATGGATACGATGTATGTTTGGTCTGCGTTCAAGCATTGATTGGGCTAGTCATTAGCATTCTAGCATTCTGCTTCGCTATCTGATACTATGTGAATGAGGTCAGTCCCAGTCAGGTCAGGCTTTGTATCTAAGTCTTCCCTGCGCCATTCAGCACCATTTTGTATGTGTTAGAATGCACATTGCTTGTTGAGATTCTACTTGCACTGCATTGTCCATTCAGTCCTTTTTATCACATTGTGGATCCTCGGTTTCTATGTACATCGCCCAACTGGGCATGTAACAGTGGAGCATGAGAGAGAGAGAAAGAGAGAGAGAGAGAGAGAGAGAGAGAGAGAGAGAGAGAGAGAGAGAGAGAGAGAGAGAGAGAGAGCTGGTGGCAACCCACCTGAACTGGCGCTTCAATGTCGCCTCGCTCCCACTGCCCGCTCGAGGTGCCTCCTGCTGCCTGCTGCTTCCTCCTGTTTCGTCCTCGAGCTATGGCTGAAGCTGCTGCGGAAGGGCTGGTTCGACAACGACGACGAAGCACACGAGGCCGCCGGAGGAGAGAAACTGACTACTGGGGTGCCCAACGGAGGCGCTGGGAGGACTGAACCACGCTAGGGAGGTCTGAGTAGTTTGAAAACGAACTACTCAGATCTCCCCCAAAAACATTTCCGGGCCTGCGCACGGTCCGAGAAAAAAATTGTGCACCCATACTTCGATTTTCGCCCGGTAGTCCCCTGGCCCTAAACCTTCCCCCCGGAACCTTTTTTTTTTTTTGCGACGCCTCATTTTGCCCATGCGCCGCATGCCATGCGTGCGCCAGCTGCACGGTGCGCTCTGCACCGCACCTGCCGTGATAGCGCGCACGTCATGCGCCGCAAGTATGGCGATTGAAACAGTTTTCACCTTTGGCAGTAGCCGATGCAGATCCCAGGGGTCGATCCCTTGACCTCAGCTTACCTGTGTACAGTATCTGTACAGTTCCCTGGAGTTGAACCCGTGACCTGCACGATAGCCAGTGGTAAGTAGGTCACCGTAGGTTGTAGGCTGTAGGGAGATTCGAACTGTAGACTTGTAGGGTAGGAGTCCAAGTAGAGTCCAGAAGCCCAGCTTTAGTCCTTCTAGAAGGTCGGCAAGTGSTCAAGTGGTGAGTCTAAGGTAGGCCCACGTTTTTCAGACGAAGACAAGTGGCAAGGTCAACAGGTAGGACCTCAGTGCAACTGCACTGAGTCGACGGTACGACTGCCTACAGTCAGGAGAAGGGTCTAGAGAGTCCCAGTCCAGTCCAGCAAGTACCACAGGGGGACTGAGAGCACCAAGGGCCGAAGGTAAAGGGCAGACCAACGAATTTCTGAAGTATAAATCAAGAGGCAGCGCCCAGCCATTCACTGATTCCTGTGTGAGCCATGCGGAAGCGCTGCCACAAGCGACTTGTGCAAGGAGGTCTGCAGATGAGCCCGGAGGACGCAGTGGGCAAGAGAGGAGGAGTTAGCTTAGAGATAGGTTAGAGGCAGCCATAGCTGCCATAGYTGCAATTAGTAGTGAGTGTGTGTGTGTGCTCGAGTGTTAGAGTGATGCGTGTGGGATATCCAGGGTGATCCAGTGTATGTAGAACAGTGAGATGTTTGGGCGAAGAAGTCGCCATAGCCATTTGAGAGTGAACTCGTTTTTGCAGCCATATCTCTGAGTTTTGAGTGGGCGCATGTCGCCAGTGTGCTGCGTTCCTGTTTACATGTGTGNCCATATCTCTGAGTTTTGAGTGGGCGCATGTCGCCAGTGTGCTGCGTTCCTGTTTACATGTGTGAAAAGTGTGTTTGAAAACGAGTCTGATTGCACGATGATGGAATATGACATAAAGTTCGGCTATAACCTCGGGCTAGAAACCACTGACCCGAACCCAAGGCTGGTGGAGAAGTGGAGAACCATTCTTCTCCTTGACCCGGCGGCCCCCATCACCATCTCATGGACTAAATACCTTCTTATCCGCCCAAACCGCACACGCAGCATGCAATGGCTGATAGCACAAACAGCCCTTCCGTCAACCAATGGCTACATGCAAGAAGGAAGCATTCCGATCAGGAGAGCTCGGAATGCTGCTCAATGTGCAAGAACAACTCACCGGAGGACATCCCCCTCTGCTCCCTATCCTGTCCAGAAGCAACATGGATCTGGAAGAAGATTCGGGAGCTATGGTCGACCCTGTTCTCATCACCCCCCCCCAACATCCCTACTCTCTCCATCTTACTGCTATCTAATACTCCCAGCAACATCAAGGGCAGCAGGGAAGTCTGGTTCCTCCTGCTCAGGAAATTGGCACTGTGGGTAATATGGAAGCGCAGATGCACCCGGACAATCGAGGGAGCAGAGGTGGCAAAGGAAGAAATGTGGTCTCTACTACTGAGCATGGCAGAGGTGGAAATCAGGAGCAGATGGCGGAGAATAGTGACCTCTACGCAACACAGACCAAAAAGACAAGCAACCAGGAAGCAGACATTCAAGAGAGAATGGCTGCTAAAGGGCAAGGTGGCTACGATAGTAGACAACAGATTGAGATGGAAGAAATGGCACCAGGCTATACCACAATGACTATTGGGCCCCACCATGCTACCTGGCAGAAGGGTCGAAACTGCGATCAACAACAGTACTCAAAGGGTACACAGAGAAGTACAATGACAAACAACATAGCTTGTAGCGGACCCTTTCGCTGTTCTCGTTGTGCAAGGAATTATTTGACAGGCTCTAAATAGAAGCCTGAGAGGAACAAGCGGCATGGGCAAGCTGACAGTCAATCCTCCTTAGCAG